GAGTGGCTGCTGCCAGAGAAGCAGGAAACAGTACGAAGAGCATGAGGTATTCAAGGATCACAGGCTGAGAATGCTTCTAGTGGCACTGCCTGGCTTAGGAAGAGAGTGACAAACTGGCATCCCTGAATTCTTGGGTCAACGTGTGGAGTGAAACACAAAGAGTCCACTAGGCTCTTCTAAAAGCAGAAAAATGAAATGTTTAAAAACCACTGCCCAATAGAAATAGATTTTTTCTTAAAAGTTTGTTTATACAGTTTTTCTCTATCCCTTTATTTTTAACTGAATAGACATTTTAGTAGTACATATTAACAGGTGAAAGGAAAGGGTTTTCTTTGGCTCACTTCCCTTTAGACTGTTCAAAAGTGGAATGAACACATGCTGTTCCAAACACAATACCTGACTTCGCTTTTGTCTAGACCTCAATGAAGGGAATTCAAAAAGAAAAATACAATATTCCTGTTTCCATTTTCCCTAGATCAGTTTCAGCTCTTTCTGGATGAAATCAGTCTCTCAAGGGACATCAATCTCACAATTTGAGAAACAATGCTCAAGATATGAAACAAAAAGGAACACAATGGAAAACCAGCAGCCATTTGTTTTTCCACTTGGGAGAGTTAGACTGTACGACATCCTTTTCATTACAAAGCCAAGTTACTATTCAGAATTGTAAATTAACTCTTTGTAATACAAATGACTTCAGCTTCAGACAAAAAAACTGAAATCCCTTATGTCAAGCAATCTCTGAAACAAAACTAAAGAACCAGGATATCCCAGTCAATCCTTTTGGTTTGATAAATTTCACTTAAAAAAAATTTGTGTGGAAAGTAAGTAACATATAACTCAGGTAACACATTAATAAGAATGAACTAATACGATATTATACGCCAACTACACTTCAATAAAAAAATAAAAATAAGAAAGCACAATAATGTTTATTCATTACATGATGTAAGTGTGTAATCCTTAAGAACACTCTCAGGTACTTTACACCAGGGTTCAGCAAACTACAGCCTGTGGACCAAAAAAGGCCCACTGCCTGTTTTTGTAAATAAAGTTTTATTGAAAAACATCCACGCTGCTTTTTTGCTACTATTGCAGAGTTGAATGGCTATCGCAGGGACTATATGGTTTACAAAGCCCAAAATATTTATTTGGCCCTTTATAGAAAAAGTTTGCATTCCCCACTCCAAACTAGTGGGTCTCAAACTCTAACCTTCATAAGAAAAACCTGGAAAGCTCGTTAAAACACACCGTCCTGGGCTCTATCTTCACAGATCGTGATTCAGTAGGTTGGGATGGGGTCCATGAACTTGTATTTCTAAAAGCTCACAAGCTGCTGGTCTATGAACTAAACTTTGAGAACTACTGCTCTAAACCATCTCATATAATCAAAGATCAGCAACAGCCACGGATGCTATACATTCTATAAAACAGGACAGCCACCACACAAAATGAAAACTAAGGCACAAAAAGAGAAGTGAGATAGAGTTAGACTTATATGGAATTAGTGGTAGCTAAGAAAGCACAATTGGTTGCCATAATCATCAGATAATTCTTCAGCCTCTCATCCTAACGTTAATTCACAGAGAACCTGGAAATTCAACAGAGACCAGCAGGAACCAAAGGCGGGGGGTTGGAGGTATAAAACCCAATCTATTCTTTAGAGAAGCTATAAAACACTTTTTTTTAGAAAAAGCCAGGTATATGCAGTTATAATTTAGTACTTGACTCTAAACTTAAGGACTAAAGTACAATGTTTGAAAAAAATCTGACACATACAGTTTATAATACAATGGTCCAATCAAAAGATAAATCCTTTCACTTCATATAAATAATACAAATGGTTAAAAATAAAATTCTTTAAATAAATTCTAACAAACGTGTTAGGCTAATATGGGAAAGAATACAGAGGATATCAACTGATATATTTTATTAGAACTAGGCTCAGGAAGAACAAAATGATATGTAATAAACTACCTAAAAATATTAGAATGTCTTTCACTTAAACACTGCAGAAGATAGAAGTGGAAGGTAAAGATTTAGATGGAAAATTCTCTGCTGATTTATTAGATCAGGAAAGTTTTTATTCATTCAGCCTTCTAGTGAGCATCTATCATGCTCAGAGGCACTGTACCAGGCATTAGGGATAGAAGTGAAAAAATACCATCCCTACTCAACAAGCTTGCGATCTAGTGAGAGAGCCACGCAAATAATTGCAACACAGCATGATCAGTGTAAGAACAGTCATATATATTAGGTACTATCAGAGTGTGGAGAGAGAGCTGATTAAATATACTTAGGAGAAAGGTGAAAGAAGGCTTCACAAAGCACAGAGTTACCGCTTTCACTGGGACCTGAAGAAACAGAGCAGGTGAAGAAGGGTAGGTAGAGAGCTCCAGGGGCAGTGGATAGAACATGTGCAAAGGTACAGAGGTGAGAGAAAGTAATACGGATTTGAGTTCTACAGACAGGTCAGTTTGGCTGAAACAGAGTGTGCAATGTGGGAAGGGATGAAATGGGAATTTGGACAGGAAGGCAGGGTCTCACGTGAAGAACCTTGGGTGCCACACTTTATTTTTCCAGCTTTAGGGAAATGGTGAAGAATTTTAACCTCAAAGTGGACTGAGTGGATTTGCATTTTAATAAAATTACCAGAGGGGAGGTACTGTAGTCTAAAGATTTTACTTTTGATCTAAAACTTCTGATGAGAATTTGCATTCAAGGCACACATGCGAAAGAGAAAGAGAGGTAGAGCTGAATATAGGTAAAAAAATAATCTCCCAGTTTAATTTACATCGAAATGAAGTTTGCAAAGCAGCAGCGAAGACTGAAATTAACACACCTCATTCTGAATCTTAGAACGTATTTTCTTTTTTATCCAATAAGGCCAAGGGTTAAAAAAAAGCAGCTAAAGATGACTTTATGGTCCGTGTTGACAGAGAAGACCGTGTCTGATTGCAGTGCTCAGACTTTGGACAAATCCTAACTTCTCTGGGCTCTAGTTTCTTCACGTGTATAACGAAGGGTTTGGGGTTTCTTAACCTGGGCTATAAACAGAAGTATATTTCAATATAATTGGTTTCCTTTGTAATCTTACTCATTTTATTTATTTAAATTTTAAAACATTCTCACATTCTAAGAAGCGGTCAATAGTATAAAAGAGGTTGAGAAGCTCTGCATGATATTTAGGGTCACCTACGACTCTCAAATTATAGGGTTTTGGACATTCAATATAGGAACTAAAACAGAAAGCCGCTGGCTAAGGAAAATAAGCATGGGGCAACAGGAAAAGCATAATACCATGGACCAAAAAAATCATATACAGGGATTTAAAGTCTGACTCAGGCTGACATTATTTTGCCTCTCCATTTCCCTTTCTTCTTTTGTAGACTTAGGTTAATGCTGGTATTAAATGGCTGCTTGATGGCTTTCTTCTTTTATATCCTTAAACCTACTGCAGTATGATTTACAGAATAAAATTTAATAGTAAAGGATATGAGAAAATTTAGTGTATGAGGAAGATTATATACTGAAAAGACTGGTAATGTTACAATCAAATAAAATAAAGGCGGTAAGAACAAAAATGCCTTCTTGATAATGTCCAGACACAAAACTACCTGGGAAAAAAGCCAGGTAAATAAAAAACATCTTTTTTTTTTAGTCAGAAACAATTGGTTTTAAAAAGACATGTGTGGAACAAAAACTGGTTCCCATCATCTTACAATTATAGGACTGAACAGCAGGGAGGCATCTAGGCCCTATCTTTATAATGGTGCTCTGTGACGAGGGACTCCAAATGATCTGAATTTGTAAGGTCAATTTCAGCACTCCAACCTAAAATGTATGTAGCTACTATACAGAAAGGAAATCAGGTTTAAGATTTTTAAGAACGCTGTAAGACATGAGTTATAAAACATATTATCAGAGAAAATGTGAATGAAAAATTATTCCTTGAAGGTATTCCCACTATATACTTTATCTAAATCAGATTAAACCATCAAAATGGTTCTGATTAATCAATGAAAGTCCTACTGTGTCACCTGTTCAGTGTTCAAAATGACATCTTGCACTGGTTTGAAAAACCCACTGAAATATCGCAATATTGAAATATTATAATAATACTATTTGTAATATCCTTTTAAAGTACATCTACTTAGTATTTAAAACCCCTCCTATTTTAGACATGAGTCTACAATGAGGTAGTTGGATAACTATTTAACTAAACAACAATGGAAGACTTTCAGAGTTACGAAAGCAAATCGAGTCAGTTTTTAAAGTAGCGTCCGTATTAAAATGGTAGGGCTTTCATCTCATAGCAACAATCTGAGGGAAAAATGCCTTTACCATTCTCAGACAGCTTTTCTAGAGAAAAACTACAAAAACATTTGTCTTCTTTCCTACCTGAGACTTATCAACCTAACAAATCTGTATGGGAGGGCAGGTTCCTGTCTCTACAGGTAACTCTCTCATCCCACACCTCCCTAGCAATCTGCCTATCTCTAAACCAGAGGCAGGTAACTCAGGCACCCAAGGCAATCTTTAGTGTTCCGACGCTTCTCCCCTGACATGTGGTTTCTTTTAACAAGCATCTTATAAAGAATACTTAAGTTCTGGGCTTAAAAAAGATCACCTTTTAGCAAAACACTATCTACAGCCCCAAAATCTTCCAATACTTGATTTGCTTCAGAAAACTGTGCCGCGTGAACATTACAACTACTTATGAAAATGTATGTAGTCCAGGCACTTTTAGTCCAAGCAATATAGATTAACTATACTTCATATAAAACAAACCCTATTTTAAGCAAACCCACTAAACAGGGCCAGAAATGTACATAAAACAAAAGTTGGTAGGGGGATTTAATTTTCAAAAGGATTTATCCAAAATATGGCTGTACACAACTCAAACAACCACTCGTGTTTTTTTAAAAAAGTCACATTTACACGTTATTCCAGAACAGAACATAAATTATTTTTCTATAAGGGTATGAGGAACAACTCACCTCCATTTCCACAGCAGCAGTACTCTGGTCATAATGACCCATGAGATTAGGAAAAAATGTCATGTTGTAGGCCATTTTCATACATCTGGGAACAGTAATTGGTTCGCAGGTGAAAAGACTGTGTCCTCTTATGAGGGGTAGGAAAATGCATGTCAACAAAAATGGAAACATTTCCATTTTCTTCAAATTCCTGATTTTACCACATGGCTTGGAGTGATCGCACTTTTCATCCTCAGATTTCCATCCAACGACAAAATGTTCAAATTCCTCATTTCATCATTTTACCATTTTGAAGGAAGTTCTTTTCCTGAAAACGAGTTCTGGGTCAATTACTGTAAAAACAACCAAGAGCATGTATCGGCAACATGTGTCATAAACTCAAGTGCGGGCGTCAAAGTGCAGAGTTAAGATTTCCACCCTAGGTAACACTGGAAAAACGACGGAAAATTCCGTCCTTTCGAGATACTCTTCCACCTGCCCTGGCACAGAACATATCATTTGCCGAGAAGTCTCATCTCTAAGGAACCGACGATAGAAGGTCTGTGGCGTATGGAACACAGGGCGAAAAGGGGGCAGTGGTGAGCGAAGCGAAGAAAGTAATGCTGGGGGTGGGGAATAAGTAAAAAAGAATTAAGAGACTCACAAAATCTAAAGGGCCCCTGTTGGATATCCTATTACGCACAACAAAACTGAGTCCCAGGGAAATTCCTTAAGACCTAATGAGTTCTTCGATCCTTTAAAGACTGCAAAGAGCCAGTTTTTGTGGCAGTCTTCTGGGGATATACTTTTCTGTTTTTCAAAAGGCCAACTAGAAGGAAACTTCTAGGATTCCTCCTGCGGAGGAGCGAGACCAGTTTTCATGGGCTGGGGGGAGTAGTGATCTCACCCAAAGGGAAAATGAACAAATATGTCGCGGGAGGACGCCGGAGTCCCCGTGGGAGGGAGGCTGTGGGCCCTGAGTCACCAATAACCGCAGCCCCCGCCCCTCCACGCCCGGTGCCCAGCTTTCCAGCGCCCCACAGCCGGCACCTGCCCCAGGCCTAGAGTGGCGTCCCCGCCCGCTCGGCGCCGCGGGGCCCCGGCCTCGCCTTCCCGGGGCTGGCCCCCACTCGCGCGGACGCTCCGGCGGCAGCAGCCTGGCCCGCCGCCTCGCCGCACCTGCGGCCCCGAGCGCGCGCCCCCGGCCCGCCCCACCTTCCGAGGGCCCCGCCGGCCGCGGCCGAACGCCCAGGCCGGGTCCGAGGAGCCTCACCTCGGGCGGCTGTCGAAGTCCGCTCTCCCTCGCCGTCCCCGTGCAGCCCACCGCCCCCAGCGACCTGAGACGGCTCCGGGGAGCGTCCGCGACTCCAGCCGCCTCGGGAGCCGCACGGGGAGCGAGAGCTGAGCGATCCCGCGAGACTGCGCCGCCAGGTCGGGCGGGCAGGTCCGGGCTCGAGGCGGCGGCGGGGGCCTGGCCCTGCGCCCGAGCCCCGCCCGCGCTGCGCCGGCCCGACCTGGCCCGGGGCTGGCCCGGGGCGGGGGCGGGAGAACGGGGCGCGTACCGGGGTCCGCTGTGGGGCCGGGAAGGCCTCTCCACCTTGCCGTCTGTTACGGTACCTGAAGCACAGGCCTGTGCCCTATCTCGCTGACCCGTCAGGGGTTCAGCCTAGACGGATATTTTTGAAGCTCTTGGTAATCCCCCCAATGACCCTTCCTTTAAAAGAACCCACTTCATTTCGGATTTCAGGAGCCAAGAATTCTTAAACGGGGCCAATTTGCTCTGTAAAGTCAATTGCCCAAGTGACCTTAGTTGGAAAGTGGGTAACTTCTGGATAACCGTCCTAACAAAAACCCTTTTGTTAATTCGGGGAGTCTGGTCACCAACTTGAGGCACAGGTGGCCATGGGATTCCAGCCCTGGCAGATTCTACAGTTTTGTTGATGCAAAACCGTAGTAGAAAGTTGAACTGCTTTAAAAGTCAACCTAAACTTTAGTACCCACTCTGCCGCACATCATTTCATGCGCTCTGCCTGTTCATCCCTCCTTCCCTCCTAAAGCCTGACGACCACGAATCTTTACTGTCTCCATAGACTTGCCTTTTCCAGAATGTCATGTACCTGAAGTTACGTTATGTAGCCTTTTCAGATTGGCCTCTTCCACTTAGTAATAGTCCTCCACATCTTCTCATGGCTTGATAGCTCGTTTTCTTTAGTGCTGAATAATATTCCATTGTGTGAATGTACCACAGTTTATTTATCCACTCATCTGTTGAAGGACATCGTGGTTGATTCCAAGTTTTGGCAATTGTGAATCAAACTGCTGTAAACATTTGTGTAGGTTTTTGGGTGGACCTAAGTTTTCAACTCTTGGGTAAATACTAAAGAGCGTGATTGCTGGATCATACAGTACGAGTATGTTCAGTTTTGTGAGAAACTGCCAAACTGTCTTCCAAAGTGGCTATACCATTTTGCATCCCACCAGCATATTTGAGAGTTCCTGTTGCTCCACATCCTCACCAGCATTTGGTGGTGTCAGTGTTCCTGATTTTGGCCATTCTAATAGGTATGTAGCGGTATCTCATTGTTTTAATTTGCATTTCCCTGATGACATATTATGTGAGCATCTTTTCATGTGTTTATTTGCCATTTGTATGTCTTCTTTGATGAGGTGTCTGTTAAGGTCTTTGGCCTATTTTTTAATTGAGTTATTTGTTTTCTTAATGGCTGAATTTTAGGAATTCCTTTGTATATTTTGGGTAACAGTCCTTTATCAGATATATCTTTTGTAAATATTTTCTCCCAATCTGTGGCTTGTCCTCCAATTCTCTTGACATTGTCTTTTGCAAAGCAGAAATTTTTAATTTTAATCAAGTCTAGCTTATCAATTATATTTCTCATGGATTGTGCCTTTGCTGTTGTATCTAAAAAGTCATTGCCAACTTCAAGGACTTCTAGATTTTTTCCTATCTTCTGGGAGTTTTATAGTTTAGTGTTTTACCTTTAGGTCTATGATCCATTTTGAGTTCATTTTTATGAAGCTTGTAAAATCTGTGTCTAGATCATTTTTTTGCCTGTGGATGTCCAGCTATTCCAGCACTGTTTGTTGAAGAGACTATGTTTGCTCCATTGTATTGCCTTTGCTCCTTTGTCAAAGATGAGTTGCCTATATTTATATGGGTCTATTTCTGGGCTCTCTATTCTGTTCCATTGATCTATTTGTCTGTTCTTTTGCCTGTACCGCACTGTCTTGATTACTGTAGCTTTATAGTGAATCTTTAAGTTGTATTGTGTCAATGTCCAGCTTAGTTCTTCTTCTGTATTGTATTGGCTATTCTGGGTCTTTTTCTTCTCCATATAAACCGTGGAATCATTTTTGTCAATATCTACAAAATAACTTGCTGTGGTTTTGATTGGGATTGCTCTGAGTCAAGTTTGGAAGCACTGACATGTCAAGAATATTGAGTCTTCCTATCCATGAGCATTGAATATCTCTCCATTGATTTAGTTATTCTTTGATTTCTTTCATCAGAATGTTGTGGTTTTCCTCATATAGATCTTTTATATATTTTGTTAGATTTATACCTAAGTATTTCATTTGGGGGTGCTAAGGAAAATGGTATTGTGTTTTTTCTTTCAACTTCCACTTGTTCCTTGCTGGTATATAGGAAAGCAATTGACTTTTTAAGTTAACCTTGTAACCTGCAACCTTGCTTTAATTAATTAGTTCCAGGAGTTTTTTAAAGTTGATTCTTTAAGATTTTCTGCATAGACAATCATGTCATCTGTGAACAAAAACAATTTTATTTTGTCCTTCCCAATCTGTATACCTTTTATTTCCTTTTCTTCTTTTATTAGCTAGGACTCCCAGTATGATGTTGAAAAGGAATGATAAGAAGGGACGTCCTTGCCTTGTTCCTGATCTTAGCAGGAGAGAGTTTAGTTTCTTACCATTGAGTATGATGTTAACTGTAGGTTTTTTGTAGATGTTCTTTGGCAAGTTGAGGCACTTTCCCTCTATTCCTACTTTGCTGAAGGTTTTTATTATGAATGGTTGTTGGATTTCATCAAATGCTTTTTCTGCTCTGATAAAGCTCTAATAAGTCAGGCTCTGGTAAAACCATTTCTCCAGAGGGCAGGCCTTGTTAAGAAGAACACAATGCTCTGGCGTATTTCAAAATGCTTCTTTTTCCCCCCTCTCCCTGCCGGAAACATTTTTCTCTGATATTCACTATAAGAACCAGGTAAAGCTTCAAGAGATAAAACTCACAAAAGTGTAGGGGTCCCCCCTGGGAGACTGGGTCTTCGTGGAGTTTTTAACTTTCAGACTTGTCCACACTGAGCCTTCAGCAATTCCTCAGTTACAGTTCAGTTTTTCCTACCCTCTACTGGGTCCACCAGAGGTTTCTGCTCTGGTAAATTGTGATTCTCTGTGTCTGCCTGTCTCTTTCTCCAATTTTGGGGACAGAGGTTTGCCCTGTGACCTCAACTCTTTGATGGATCTAAGAAGAGTTGTTGATTTTCAGTTTGTACACTTTTTATTTGTTAGGACAGAGTGACAATTTCCAAGCTCTTTACATGCCACACCAGAAACTTGATTCCTCACTTTTAAAAATAAGTATTGCTTTAAGAATGTTTTTTGACAATTCCAGTTGCTGCTGCCTTATCAGAGCAAAGTTTCTCCAAGTTAAAATGAAGTTTAAAAATTCCAAGAGCCACAATAATGCAGGAATGTTATGTAACTTGGCATTATTGTTACTGTTAACAGAACACTGATTATATGAAAATCTTGATAATGAAAACATAATTAAGTGATTTTGCCAAAACGAAGAGAAGAAACTAAATTTTATGGAGTAAATATACAATTTATAGGTTGTGTAAATTTTTATTTTATTACTTATCCAAACCTCTCCAGCCATCACCAGACTGTGCAGACGCACACAATAATAAAGTTATTCATCTTTGATAGCTTGCCCATGCTCATTAAAATATAGCTTTACACATTTCTTTTAAAAAATGTTATCTTAGGATAAAGGTAGGAGGAGAGAACATAGTTTATTAAACAGTTTGTTAGCTTGATTTATGACTTTTAACTATGTAGACGTATCGTATGGTGTCCTTTGTACTCTTGCCTGGGTCCTGCACACGTAATGTGGGTGGACCTGCTTGTGACCGCTGACCTGATGCCAACACGTTAGGGGTTTGGGGAGCAAACAGTGGTAAGGAGACCTCAGCTGGACGAGGCTGGGCTGAATAGAGATAGAGAAGAGAATGGAAGGAAAGAGAGGAACTGGGGCTGCGTGGCTCCTTCCTTCCTGAAGTTCGCTCCCAGACTCTTTGCCTAGACCTTGAAAGCTCTACCCATGGCTCCAGTCCCTTCAAGTGACATGTGTGAATTTGATAGCTTATTGATGAATTTAGGGGGTCTATGAGCACAACATAGAGGACGGCCTTTATTTAAAAACAAACTTTCCCTTGAAGTACATTACCTGTCTCTCCCTGCTCTAAAAACTAACTGCTGTGGTGTTTGCAGCAAGGCAATTAGCCTTTTGCTGTGGTTGTACCCATTATGGTTGGCCAGAAATAATAACGTCTTCTAATTACTACCTCCAGCATTACTGGAAAATAAAAATTTCAGTGCAGTAGTAACATGACACTGCAGGAAAGAGTTACATATTTTAGCGACAGTTTGATGTATAAGATTGCCTCCTTGGAGCTCTGGTATTGTCATTTGCAAATAAAGAGAGTCATAATATTAAAGAAAAACAGCTTCGGCTCTATTAATGCTCTGAGTTACATTTTGTGTCTGTGAGTTGACCCTACTTGGTTTTGTTTTTAGTAGCTTCAATACTTACTATCTGGTCATCTTTAATATTTAATATTTTATCCTTTTTTCTAGCAAAGCAGCATTAAGTCAAATATTAGAAGTAGTATTTTCCCTGAAGCTTTTTAGTATCTAGCAAAGGGCTTCTTGCCTCAAATTTAATGACTTAGATAACAACTAAATTAATTTCCTTTGAAATGTAAAACCAACTTTATACTTAATTGTGCATCATGGGCTGCTAATGACTATACGTGATTTTAAAAATTGCCTTAAAAACAAATGGGATAAGTATGTGTTATAGGTTGGTAAGTGAAGGAAAATATGAAATTAAAGTTTTAGAGAAAGTGGATTAAAGAAATATTACTATTTTTGCACTTCAATAGAAAAGATTTTATAGAGGAGGTGGGCTTTGGGGAGCAACTTGAATGTAAAATAATTGAGAGATTTGGTGTACCAGACATGGTGTGTGGGTTGGGAGACAGTTTAGAGGTGGCAATGGTATAGTTTAATGCAATAAATCTTGTGTGTTTTCACCTGAAGGCAGAGGCAAATTTGCCATGAAGCTAATGAAGCTTAAGCTTCAGGGACCTT